ATTCAAGCACACTGTTCCTTTTCTCCATAGGTGGGGTATGGGACAATGCTAGAGAGGGACTGCTGGGCAGTTCAAGTACCAATCGGGACTTTACTCCAGCCCCTCTTTAGCCTTGCTCTGCTTGACCCAGGCCTACAGGAGACCCACCTGGAACCCTCCTAGTCCTGCAGAAGAGCCTGGGGTACTGTCAGGCACTAGTAGGCTCTCACCAGGGAATCATGAGTCCAGGCTTTGCCTTGAGCTTACTATGTGTCTCAAGGGAAATGTCTCAATGTCTCTGATCACAAGGTTCCCTTATGTATAAAGCAGAGGTAGATACAGGTTATCCTATCTCCTTTTGGAGGTTTTGTAAGATCTAAGAAAATAATGGACAAAAAAGATCTTTGAAAACAATAAAGGGCTTTGTAGGGAAAATTGTGATCATTCTACTGACAGGAGGGACTGTGTGTACACAAGTGGGTCTGTATCATCGGTTGGGGGTACAGGTTGATCAGGAGAGTCTAACATGGAAGAGGGGCTGTAGCCAGTATTTCTAGGGGTGGGGTTCAGAGGCTGGGAGTGGGGGTCTCGCACCAAGTCATCTTGAGATCATTCACTTGGGCAAATGTAGACAAAGAATTGTGACAACTTCCCCCTTATGGATTACACCATTAGGGTATTAAGGTATGTGGCTGGTGACCCTGCCAGCAGCTTCCATGGGGACAAACAGGCCAGTCAAGGCTGATGTCTGAGGGTTAGCAGGGGGCAACCTGAGTCCTCCCCACCCCTACCCATAAAGGAACCAGCCTCCAAGCTGCCTCTGTTTCCTTCTCTGAAGTGACCTCCCAGGCTGCTGCAATGTACACAGCCCAGGGGCCAGCTCCCTCCTCTTCTGCCTTTCCCCTTGCCTGCTCCCCTCCCCCAAGCCCCTCCAGTCATTGGTGATGGGTGTGGGAAGGCGGCCCTCATGAGCAAAGCTGACATTTCAATCTGTCGCCCAAGCTCTTCACACGCCTGCAAATTGTATCAAGACTTCATCACCCCCCCTTGTCCAACACCCGGCCTTGTCTGGCCCCTGTCAGGCCTGGCCCTCAAACAAGTGACAAATTACATTCCAACCATCGTGGCAAGCCGGCAAGTGGGTGCTTGAAACCCAAGGGACCAGAGCTGCCTAGACAGCCTCTGGCTGAGAATAGGGTCCCTTCTGGATAGGAACCCCACACAACTGAGTCTACTCTATCCCATGTTCTCATCTGCATCCTCCCTACCAGGCTTGAAGGGACCAGGCCCCCCAAATCAGAGGCCTCAGCTCCCAGTTACCTGAGCTTCTAAGGTAGGATGACTGGTGAGAAGACAAATGTCAACAGCTTGAGGGAAGCCAGGCCAGGCTAACACCTGCCACCTAAGCCTGGGGATCTGGGAATAAAGATGTGTATTAGTCTGCTGCTGCAAGTGACACCCCATGAAGCTGGAGTTGGAGGGAGCTGCCTTTGCCCCCCTATAATGTAAGACTCTGCTACTTAACACCTGCATGGCCTTTGGAAGTTTCCTTAACCTCTCTGAATCTTTATGGAAATTTTATCACGTACTTTATAGAATTATAGGGTGCTCTGATGGTGTAGTCCATGAAAGTGTTGCACTGTTAACCCAAGTGTGATGCCTCTCAGGTGGTGCGAATCCACCTATGGTTCTGAGGGAGAAAGATGGGCATGTCCTCCCAGGCAATTTGCAAACTCCCCTAAACCCACTGGAAGGTCAGTTATGTGAGTGTTAGGACTCAGTTACAGAATCGTGTGACTTGTTGTTGGAGGATTGCAGGTACTCACTGTCACTGGTGTTGAGTCAGAACCGATTCGTAGCTGACCCTCCAGCGGGTTTTCTGAGATTGTAAATCACACAGGAGATTGCTCATCTTTTGCCTGCAGAGCTGCGGGTGAATTCAGACCACCAGAGAGACGCAGCGTGTCTGCCTTGGTGTTAGCACCACAACTCCCTGTCCACTAGGCCACCAGAGAGCCCTTGGCTGCCTGTAGAGCTCACTTCAACTCCTAACAATCCCAAGTGGCAGAGGAGAACTGCCCCACAGTGTTTTCTAGGCTGTAATCTTTCCGGGAGCGGATTGCCAGGTCTTAGTCTCCTTAGGAGCTGTCAGATGACAGCCTTTGAGATCGCAGCCGAGAACGTAAGCAGTGTGCCATCAGGGCTCCTCACAGAACTGGAGCGAAGATGAAATAACAGGCACACAGTACCCAGTACAAAGCCTGGCACGGGGGGAGGCGCTCTGTGAGCAGCAGTCGTTACTGCTACTGCTTTTGTGCAGCTGCTGCTGTTCTCTGACCCCACCAAGTGACAAGGCCAGGGCTGGTAGCGGGAGGTCAAGAAGGGGGCACATGAGAGCTTGAAAACCCACACTAAGAGAATCTCTACTTCTCTGCCTTTGCTTTCTTCATCGCCTTGCAGCGAATGCACCTCCGCCCCGCTCCTCGTGCCCCCCTTCAGGGCATTCTCAGACCCCACCTGCTCCATGTGCTGTGGCTGAGCCTCCAGCCCCTCAGGCTCCCCCCCCCCGCCCCCAGGACTCCTGCGGCACACGTTCAGTGCCACTTAAGGCGGAATTATATGCTGCCTGGCATCTCTCGATAATTACAGATTCCACGTGTGTGAGTCTTGTTTTCCCAACTCTACAATCGCACAATCTCCAAGTTTGAAGGGACCTCATCCAGCCTCCGCCTGCAGCAGGAGTTCCCTGAGGAATGTCCCCAGCAGATGGTCAGGAACCTCCACCCCACTGTGCCCAGGCGGGGCTCCTCCACAGGAGGTGCTTCACCCTCAGTATCCAGCCTTCACTCCCAGTAGACCTACCGGGTCCTTCTTCCTAGGCAGGAGTGGGGACCCCTCCCTACCCAGCTGATCCCTTTGGAGTTCCCCTAGTAATGCCATTCTCAGCACTGCACTGCGGGGCCTGGAAACTGGCAGGCGGCTGTCTCATGGTTCCTGACTGGGCCAGAATCCACAGTGCTTCACAGGGCACAACCCACTCATTCATTCATTCAGTCTCTCCTCCCATCTTTACTGAGAGTGACCAAGGAAGAGGGTGTCATGACCTGAAATGCCACCCTGGGTTTTCATGGAGTAATGAGGACAGGACAGGTGAAGGCAACATGAAGCAGAGGGCATGCCTGGACTGGTCTGGGAGGGAGATGGTGGCTCTGAGATCTGTAGGGACAAATAGCTGATCCAGAAGAGGGAGAGGGGAGGGAGAGTGAGAACTGAGGCAGGGTCTCACCTCTGCAAATACCCAGAGGAGTGGGAGGTAACCTGTGACTGCAGCGCAGGTAGATAAGGCAGGGAGGTTTGGCCCTTGTCCTCTGGACAATCTGAGATCCCAGCAGGTTTGAGTGGGAGAGAGAGAGATTGGACTTGAGGCAGTCATGACCCAGGAATGGGCACTGGGGTTGGGAGGAGTGAGGCAGAGATGGTCAGAGGTGAGACGCAATAGGCAGGAGCTATCTAAGCCAAGACAAAGACAAAGGAATGAAGAGGAGGAACCAGTTGAAGAAATATTCGGAAAGTAAGATTGGGGAGCATTTGGCGATTCATTGATAGCGATACCAGGTAGTTAACCCTTAAAGGTCCTGTGTTGTAGAGAACTTGGAGACCACGGAGGGTATTTCTGAATCGCCTGGGGACCTTGTTAAAATGCAGATCTATGATTTAGGAGCTCTGCAGTGAGGAATGAGATTTTTGCATTCTTAACAAGCTCCCAGGTGATACACATGCTGCTGACCCAGGGGCTGTATTTTAATTAGCAGGGACCTATCTTAGCTCGGTTCGTAAGATGAGAAAACAGAAGCTCAGCTGGCATACCTGTGCAAGAGTGCAAGGTCAGAGTGAGGTCCCGAGATCTTGGAGTTGCAATCTAGTGCTCCCTCCACCAGGTTTCTTTGTTGGGTCCCGTCCAGGCGGAGTCTATGACTGTTAGCCGTTGTTGGACTAGAGATGCATAGCCCAGTAAGGTGCTCCAAGGGCCGAGAGCTTGAGGACTAGGGTGGGAGCAGGTGTGTCACAGAGGGAGAGGCAATGAACAGCTCAGAGAAGAGAAAACAGCAGTGGGGCCGGAATGTGGTAGGGAGGGGTGTGGTATAAGGCTGAGCAGTCCACAGGGCCCAGGACCAAATCAAACAGGTTCCAGGGGTTCAGTGGGGTGCCACTGGAGGATTTAAATGAGGATGTAATATTATCAGCAACAGATTTGGGACTCCAGTTCATAGGATATTGATGTTGGGCTAGGAGTAGACTGAGTCCTCCAAGTAGGTAGAACAGCAGGAGGCTTCTGAGGTGAGCAATACTGCTGGGGACCTGGGGAAGTCACAGTGGAATGATTTAAAGTTCAACTGACAGGACTGAATAGGTGATTGGATATGGGGTATGAGGGAGGAGGCACGATGCCAGTTTCCAACTTGAGTACTCTATGAACGGTCATTCCCCAACATGGGGAGACATGGGTGCTGCTGGCTGAGGGAAAGGGTGGTTCTGTGTGAGGCAATCTGCATGTTTGAAATACCTTCAAAGTGGTGAGACAGCAAGTGGGGATGCCTAAGGGCAGCTGTAATGCTTAAAGCTCCAATGCTTAAGATCTCAAACACCATTTCCTTCAGAACACCTATCCCCATTTCACAGAGGAGAAAACTAAGTCCAGGGAGGAGAAGGGGACAGAGCAGCTGGTGCAAAAGAAAGGCTTTGGGGACGGATCTGCTTATATATTCAGTTCTGCTAATTATCTGTGTGACATTAGGTAATTTACTTAATGTCTCTGAGCCTCAGGTCCCATCTCATGGACTTCTGGAAGGTAAGCTGAGCTCCTCCTGAAGTACCAAGTTCAGTACCTGGGAGCTCAGGATCACAGAGTGGGAAATCAATAGGATTGGCGTGCCCACGACCTGCAGGAGCCCGAGGGCAGCAGGACTGAGGTGGCAGATGCAGCCTGACTTTTTACTTTGTTCTCTCTTTTCCACTGGCAGGTCCAGAACATCAGCCTCGTGGATGGGGAGACAGTGACTGTGGAGGGCCTTGGGGGGCCGGACCCACTGCCTCTGGCCAACCAGTCTTTCCTGCTGCGGGGCCAAGTCATCCGTAGCCCCACCCACCAAGCATCAGTGAGATTTCAGAGCCTTCCACCACCTGCTGGACCTGGCACCTTCCATTTCCACTACCAAGGTAGGTCTGAGCAGACGAGGCAGGAGGCAGCCTCCAGAAGTAGGGGTAGCTGATGCTATTACATCCTAGGGGGGGAAACACAGCAAAGCTGGTAACAGAAAATACTCATACCCTCGGAAGCATCATACAACTGGATGTGCATAGATACTTAAATAGGCAAGTGATAGAAGCCCTCTCTGTAAATATAATGCAATCAAGGCCAAGTGGAGTTCTTTACCTTTCTCCACTGCCTCTCCTACCCTGGACCTCACACACACCCCAGGAGACATACAGAACAACTCAGGAAGCTGGGGTAATAGCATGATGTTCTGGGAAAAAAATCAAGAGAAGGTCTGATCTGTGTCTGAATATCATTTCTCTCACTCTTGACCTTGGAGACAAGTCATTTGACTTCTGTGGCCTCTTTTCCTCTGCTGTAAATAGAGATCACAAGAACGATCCCAAAAAGGCATGGGGAAACAAAATGGCGCATGGCAAATGCTTAACTCACTCTCCCTAAAGGAAGATTGTATGAAATAGCTGTCAGGAGGGAGAGGAAGGGAGAGAAGCCACTGCTCTCCCCTTAGCACTGCCACCCCCAGGCACAAAGTCATCTTGATCCCTTGTTCCTTCCACACAGCTAAGACAGGTTAACCCAGCTACAGCTACAGATTTGGGGGAGTGGTGCTAATGGGGATATAATTGGTGTGAACAATTATGAGATTGTCTTGCATTGTCATGGACCACTTCCACAGCTCTGCGGGGGGCCATAGCCAGAAGGATGCAAACACTCCTCTAGAGATCCTGGACCCTCAGCACCACACCTCAGCAGTGGCAGGCACCCTCCTCTGACCTCCCCCACCCAAACAGAGAGCACCAGTCCCAGTGTTGGCTGCAGGGTACCAGTCAGTGGGCAGGGGCTGGGCAGAAGCCTGGGGCCCGCTGAGGCAAGGGTGAATGTCTAGGCGTCCTGGCCAGCCTCCCTAATGGCTCATCAATCCTCCCTAGTGGCGGGCATAATTTCACGCTGCGGTAACCTCTCTTCCTGCAAATTCCTTTGCATGAAACCCAGGACCTCCTCTTCTGGGCCAGACAAAGGTGGCTGTCAGGCAGTGAGCTGGAGGCTGGGCGATGGGGTGCAGACCCCGGAGGAGGAGCAAGGAGAGCTGCGGCCCAGTCCCATTTCCTCCTTAGCTCCCAGAAGCCCTCCCTCTCCGGCCCAGATTTTGTCAATGATCAGCTCTTTCCTTAATGAGTGTAATTCCCCTAATTATAGTCTGTAATTAGCCCTGATCCTGGAGATGGGAACAGGAGGAGCGTATGCCCACACGCATCTTCATCTTCGTGGGTTGGAGGAAGAGGGTTCCAGAGTAGAGGTGAGGGACTTTGTATACCAACATCTTTGCCAGAGGTGCCCAGGCTAGTGTTGGGGGTCACAAGAATGGGCCCCCACAAAGTCTATAGTCTGCAGGGCCAAGTTCCAGTGCCCTCCTGTGGGCGCAGGCGGGGTGGAAAAGCAGAAGGCTCTGCCGGCATCCTCCTCCTCCATCCTGAGCCTTCCTGGCACTGGACTTGGCCCCAGAAACAGACGCCAGTGAGAAAATAACTGACAGATTGCAGTGGTGTAGGCTCCCCGGGAACTGTCGTCATGGCAACAGAAAGAAGCTTTCCCTAGGAAGTGGCTCTTCACCCACTAGGAAAACTGGGGCTTCTCATGTGCCCCATCTGCCTGCCTTTTCACTCCATCCAGGCCAATATCCTCATCTGTGAAATGCGGTCCTCCCTTCCCGGATTTGTGATAAGAACTCAAAGGGGGAAACATAAGGACAGATATTGAGCGTGACATCTGGCCTTTACTCACCTAGAGTCTTCCCCTCACCAATTCCTCCACCTCCACCCCGTATATATCATTTAGCTTTTCACTCCCGTCCATTTCAAGTTCAGTGACCAACATCCTCTTCCTCATCCCATTCTGAGCCTGGAACCCCCCCCCCCCAAGGCCATGATGAGTGGCTGTCCTGAACAATATTAATAGTAACCTTAGCTATGAACTCTCAGGCTTCTCTACATCACCTATAGAAACTGGTATAGAGGAAGCAAATGGGTCTATACAGAGCCAGGGAATTCAAGTGTCTGCTCTACTTTTTGCTTGTTATGTGACAAGGGAAAGTCAGTCAATCTCTCCCTGGACCTCACTTTCCTCCTCTGAAAATGGATTAATAAACCCCACCTTGCAGTGCTTTTCTACCATCCATGTGGTAGACTTCAAATAAGAAGAGAGTGACTGCATTTTAGAAGCTGTAAAGTACATGCAAATGTTAGGTGCTATTATTAGTCAAGATTTCTTACAATAACAGCAGGCGGATGTGTTGAGTATTTTGTTCTGTATCAGACACTGCCTATAAATCCTCTCACTTAACCACCACAACATTGAATACCGTACTGTAAACAGGTGGGTGAACACAGAAAGGAGGCACAGAGATATGAAGTATCGTGCCCAGGAGGTAGCAAACCAAGGTAGAGAACCCAGGAAGCTGGACCCCAGAGCCCACTTCCTAAGCACTATCTGCCTGCCAATCACAATTAGCTTCTCATTAGTAACTCTTTCTAGAACCTTATGAGGCAAGGAGGAGTAGAAATAATTTCCTCTCCACAGACATAATAATTAAGGCCAGAAGTGAAACTCACGGAATTCAAAGCTATAAAACTCAAGTGTCTGGACCTTGGTCTAGCAAGCTGTGACCTTTTTCTAGCCTCTGGCACATAGAGGCCCCTGGAGCCCATGCCTAGACTTCTCTTCCTACTCACCTGGTGCCATCGGTAAAGGTAGTTTCCCTCAGTCTAGACAACACTGATCCTTTCTATCAACAACCCCCCCAAAGATTTTCAGGCCTTCAAGCCCCGTCCTGCCTTCAGCCTCTCCCCTAGTCCCCTCGCCAAGCCTTTGTCCTCACCTCTCCGGTTGGCTTGGTTCCAGGTTGGGATTTGCTGGGTTGTTTTGTAGGATTTGCTGCCACCCGTTGGTCATATTTGGTATAACAATTCCAAGAGCTACCTGGTTGTGATGGTGTCCTGTCTTGTCCCCCCTTCCCCCTGTAATTTGTCCCTCTTCCATTTTTAAGGAGAATTTCCTTACACTCCTAACTTTGCCCCTATTTTGTTTTCAAAAGCTCACCATGTTTCTAGCAAACATTTTAGTGTTCCTCCATGAGTGAAAAAGCAAGATTGCTTGTCTTCAGTCTTTCCTGCTACAATACCTGTGCCCTCTAGGGGAAAATACTAACACCTTTTCCTTATTTTCAGTGCTTTCCCCATTTATAAGTCATTGAATAAACATCTAGAGTTCCAGGGATACCAGTCTCAAAAAAAATGTAGTCTCCTTTATAATCACAATAATCCCTGCGGGTGGTCAGACATTTGGAACCTCATTTTACAGATGAAGAAATAGAGACACAAAAAAAGTAATCTGCCCTTACCGTCCCAAAAGCTAGACCAAAACCCAACCTTCCTGCCTTCCAGCTCTGTGCTTAGATAGCTGGAAATGTGATCATACCTTCAAGGAGGGAACTGAAGTCTTTCTGGAATTCTCTGTGATTCCTCTCTGGCTCTGGTGACACTTGACTGTAGAGGTGGGTTGTCATTAGGTGCTGTTGAGGCATTCTTGTGCCATTGTTGTAGACACTGTCAGTCCCATCTTGTGAAAGGTCCTCCAATTTTCACTAACCCTCTAATTTATTATTATTTTTTTTGTGTGTACCATCAAATTAGATGACTGGTACAGGAGGAGATTACCCCTCCTTCTTCAACAGAGCATCTGGTGGATTTGAACTGTGCGCCTCTTGGATTGCAGTGCACCTTCTTGCCACGAGGCCACCAGAGCTCCCTTAACCCTCTCTTTTACCACATATGATGTCCTCTTCCAAGGTCTGATCACTCCTGATAACATGACCAAACACATGAGCTGACACTTTATTATCCTTGGGTTTTTGGGTTTATTTTTACTTGTTGTTCACCATCGAATCGGATCCATCAAATTGGAATCTCCAGTAGAGCATCTGGTAAATTCAAACTGCGCACCTTCAGGATTGCAGCGCATCTATAATCCTTGTTTCTGTGTGTGTGTGTGTGTGTGTGTGTGTGTGTGTGTGTGTGTGCGCGCCGTCAAATCAGATCTGACTGGTACAGGAGGAGATTGCCCCTCCTTCTCCAGCAGAGCACATGGTGGATTCGAACCAACTCTGTGACTGCAGTGCAGCTCCTTGCCACTAGGCCACCAGAGCTCCCTTATTATCCTTGTTTCTAAGGAACTTTCTGGCTGTATTTCTTCTAATACAGTCCGTGGTATAGTCAGCATTCTTCATTTTTCTTGCATGTCATAGTATATTCAAAATTCTTCACCATTCTTTGGTCTCTTATTGATGGTCCAGCTTTTGTAGGCATATGAGGCAAATTGTATTCCCATGGCTTGAGCCAGGCACATCTTTGTCCACAAAGTGACATGTATGATGCTTCATTCTTTTGCAGTAGATTTGCCCAATAAGTGTATTTATTCATTTTTTAATTACTTTCTTAATTGATATTTTAACAAAAGTTTACAGAAAAAGTTGGATTTCCATTCATTCATTGTTGCACATTTTACTCCCTACTTGCCCCCAGTTCGCTTTTTCTCTTTAAAAAGATTCATTCATTGTTGCACAATTTCCTCTCTCTCTGCCTGCCCCAGTCCACTTTGCTATGCATCTCTTGTGCTGGACTGTTATCATGCAAATAATACCTAATCATATATTTCTTTTAGACACTTATTTCCCTCACTATGTCAATGCAGTGTTAATTATTTATCCCCTCTTTTCTTAGTTTCCCCCAACCCCCATGTCAGTCCTTTTTTATAACTGTGGCATTATGCAATATTTGTCTTTTTGTGACTGAAATATTTCACTCCACTTAATGTCCTCCAGGGTCACCCATTTTGTTTAATATTTTATGAGTTCCTTGTTTTTCAGTGGTGTGTAGTATTCCATGTGTGACTATACCACAGCTTCTCTAGCCATTCATTTGTTAATGAGCACTTGGGCTGCTTCCATATCTTTCCTATTGTGAAAAACACAGCAGGAAACATGAGTGCACATATATATGTTTGGGTGGCAATTCTGGTTTCTTCAAGGTGTGTTCCCTTCCCAGTAGAGCAATTGCTAGGTTAAATGGTATAGCTGTTTCCAACTTTTTGAGAAGTTCATATGGCCTTCCAGAGTGGCTACACCATTTTACACTCCCACCAACAGTGAATAAGGGTTCCAGTTTCTCCACACCCTCGCCAGCATTTGTTGTTTGCTGCTCTGTTGAACTTTGCTTTTGTTACTGGGGTGAGATGATATCTCATAGTTGTTTTAATTTGCATCTCTCTTAGAGCTAGGGATGTTTAATATCTTCATACATTTGTTCGCCATCTGAATGTCTTCTTTGGTGAAGGGTCTGTTCATATCCTGTGCCAATTTTATGATTGGGTTGTTTATCTTGTTGAGTATTCTATAAATCATAGATATAAGTCCCTTTCAGATTTATCATTACCAAATATTTTTTCCCCAATCTGTGGCTTTCGTTTTTACCCTGTTGGGAAAGTTTTTGGATGTGCATCATTTGATTTCTTGACTGCTACTTCCCTGGGCATTGATTGTAAATTTAAGTAAAATTAAATCCTTGACAATTTCAGTCTTTTCTCTGCTTATCATGATTTTGTAGAGTTATCATGTCTAGTTGTAGGATGTAGGGCTGGCCCTTTATTCCTTGATTATGGCTCAGATCCCTTTCTCCATAACATCTCTCTCTTTCTTTCCTTTCACAGCCTATATTCTGAGCTGCCACTTTCCCCGACGTCCAACTTATGGAGATGTGACAGTCACTAGCCTCCATCCAGGAGGGAGTGCCCGCTTCCACTGTGCCACTGGCTACCAGCTGAAGGGTGCCAGGTTTCTTACTTGTCTCAATGCCACTCAACCCTTCTGGGATTCCCAGGAGCCCATCTGCATTGGTGAGTGGCCCCAGGGGAGAGAAATGAAAGCCAGTCAGAGGATTGAGAGGAGGATCATCCCCACTCTGTGTTTCTGGCTGGCACTTCCTGAACCTCATTCTCCATGGGAGCCAGAAAATGGTCACATCTCAATGACATTCATCCAACTTGCCCTTAATTATGCACTTACTAAAAGGAAGCACTACAGGGGCAGGTTTTTTTTAGAAGAATCTCACTGCTTTCCCAGATCTGAAATAAAGTGCTTTGGATGGGGGGGGGGAGAAGGGAGGCTCTCACTGCTTTCCCAGATCTGAAATAAAGTGCTTTGGATGGGGGGGGGGGGAGAAGGGAGGCAGTACAAGTATACAGAGCTGAATTAAATGGGCCCATCAAAGAACACGCAGTCCTAGGAAAGAAGAAGGAGAAAGCACATATGTGGTCAGCTTCCAGAACAGGGAAAAACAGTGCCAGAAAGGAGATGCACTGTGTCCTGGGAGGGGCGGAAACTGTTATTCTTAGCCGGATATTTAGATGGCTTTCTGGAAAAGATGATTCTGAAGGCTTGACACTGCAGTGACAAAGTAATGGCAGAGGGGGGAGGGGACTATTGAAGACAGCCAGGTTTAGCTAAGCCTGAGGCATGTGACCCTCAGCAGCCATAGTGGCATCGTGTACATTATGCATTGGGCTGCTAACTGAAAGTTTGGCAGTGTGGATCCACCAGCTCCTCTGCAGGAGAAACATGAGTAATCTCCTCTTGTGAAGATCGGTTTTGGCTTTGTGGCATAAGAAGGAAGACTGTCTTGACCATCTTGTCTTGGACCAAGATATAGAGTGGAGATCTGTGGAAGGTTTTTGAGAGAGAGGGGGAGGAGCTCAGAAACTGGTCCTCAAGAGAGCCAGGCAGAAAAAGAGTCAGGTGTTGCCAGGCAAAAAAGTCTACCTCCAGACTTGGAGAATGGAGAGATACTGGAGGTCCAGAGATACTGAAGAGGGAAAGAGAACTCTCAGGCTCTAGTCCTGAGTCATCAGGAGGTCTGGAGTTAAGGCCAGTGGAAGGGGCTTGTCACAGGAAAGAAGATGAAGTGTTTAGGATGTGATAGGCATTTGGGCATCTGAATTTTATTTTGTTTTACAAGCTCTTCCAGGCACAGTAACAAATGAGTAAGACAGATGTGGTCTCTGCTGTCCAGGAGCTCCCCATCTAGTGGGAAGACTGGCATGAAGTTCAGCAAGGACAATGCAGGACAGAGAGTGTGGTGACAGAGCACACAGGGAGGAGCAAGGAGATGCATTACAAATGAGGATGGGCTAAAGGAATGTCAGTTGGAGGAAAGAGGGTTGCTTCCTGGAACAGCATATGCAAAGAAGGGAGGTCTCAAATAGTGTAACAGTGAGAATACAGTGAGCTGTGCCTGAAGACGAGGAAATGTGGGGGGTAAATGATTAGAGTAGGGAAATTGTGGTCTTAATGGGCCTTGAATGCAATTTTGAACTTGATTCCATCCTGATGCTAAGAGGGAACAGAATGGCAGTTTTATTCTGAAATCAAGCAGAAATGTGACACTACCTTCTCTTTAGAGAGGAAACTTCTTCACTCTCTAGGACTTTATTTGGTTAAAATGTTGTGTTGCCCTGAGCATTTAGAGGAAAAGTGCTATGTATCTGTCATGGCTCTAAATTTAGAGCCAGAAGAGCCTCATGTCCAGGGAAGGAAGATACTGCCTGGAATTAGCCACATTCTTACTGCCTGCGGCTCCTCTCTAACCACTTAATGGCAGGAGTTAATGACTAAGTTACCCAGCAATCCTCACTGCTTGGGACAGGCAAGCTGCTCACCTAAGAAAGAAGAGACAGCCCAGAAGAGCCCAGAAAGTGGAGGCACCAGAGGTCAGCCCAGGAATGATTGTGGTAGCGATGCCTGGGAAGTTCTTTCGCAAAGTGTTTCAAGCCTCCGACTGGCTCAGCAATGCCTGTCAGGGGTACAACTGTGCTTGCTGAAAGTGAAGAGGACTTGAAGCACTTGTTGCAGAAGACCAAGGAATGCAGCCTTTGGTATGGATTGCATCTCAATGTCAAGAACACAAAGATTCTTACCACTGGATGGAGAGGAGATTGAAACTATCAACAGCTCTTCATCTTGCTTGGATCCACAGTTAACAATCTTGATAGCAACAGTCAAGAAATAAGGAGACACATTGCACTGTGAAAATCTGCAGTTAGGGACCTCTCCAAATTACTGAGGAGAAATTATGTCAGTTTGAGGACTAAGGTGCATCTGATTTAGGCCATGGTCTTTCCAATCACTTGCTATGCATCTGAGTGAATAAGAAGGACAGAAGAAGAATTGATGCCTTTGAGCTGTGATGTTGGAGAAGAGCACTGAACATCCCATGGACAGCCAAAATAACAAATATATATTGGAGAGGGTACAGCTAGAATGCTCTTTGGAAGCAGGATTGATGAAGCTTCACCTCACATACTGTGGGCATGTTGCTAGGAAGGGCTATTCCTTGGAGAGGGACATGATGCTAGGAAGGGTGGAGGGTTGGAAGGAGAAAACCTTCAACCAGGTGGACTGATACGGTGATTGCCATAATGGGTTCTTGTATGTCGGGAAGTGTGAGGATGGCACAGGATAGAACAGGGTTCAGATCTTTTGTTCATAGGGTTACTATGAGTCTTACTCAACAGCACCTAACAACAATAACAACAACAAGGATGGTTGACCTTTGGAACCAGGAAGATAAGAACAGTAAGGAGGCAAAGGTCCCTGCTGCCCCAGCTGGGATGGGGAAGGCGAGTTTGTTGTTACTCTGGACAGTGCAGGGCCCAGCCTTAGGGAAGGAAAACTGTTATAAGAGGTGCTCTAGAATCATGTATGCATGCATGTACTCATTCATTCATTCAAAAGAGCACTTAATGCACACCTGCTGTGTACTAGGCATCCTCAGGGGACACAGACAGGTAAGCACTCAGCTGCTAACCAAAAGGTTGGCAGTTCATGTCTACTCAGAAATGCCTGGTGATCAGAAAAGCCAGCCACTGGAAATCCTATGGAGCACAGTCCTGGTCCATGTCTTGCAGCCGCCTGCGGTGGGGTGATCCGCAATGCCACCACTGGCCGCATCGTCTCTCCTGGCTTTCCGGGCAACTACAGCAACAACCTCACCTGCCACTGGCTGCTTGAGGCTCCTGAGGGCCAGCGGTTGCACCTGCACTTTGAGAAGGTGTCGCTGGCAGAGGATGATGACAGGTGAGGAGCTGTCCCAGTGAGGAGCGCCTGCCTGGTGACGTGCTGGAAGGCTGGTACCAGGGCCTGGGGGCACACACCACGTTTGGAGACCAGTCACCCAGCTGCCCTCTCTCCTGGCACAGGCTCATTATTCGCAACGGAGACAATGTGGAGGCCCCGCCTGTGTACGATTCCTATGAGGTGGAGTACCTGCCCATCGAGGGCTTGCTCAGCTCTGGCCGACACTTCTTCGTGGAGCTCAGTACTGACAGCAGTGGGGCCGCTGCCGGCATGGCCCTGCGCTATGAGGGTGAGCCTGCCGAGCCTGGCCAGGGGTGAAAGGGCTTCCGAGGACAGAGGGAGAGAGACAACTGGGGCTCCTTGGATCTCTATCCTTACACCCTCTTTTCCTCCCTGCCTCCATTCCACAACTTCTGATTCTACTCTTGCCCACTTATGGCAATTATGACGCTTCTCCCTGCCCTTCCCCTCTGGTCCCAAGATTGCTCCAGAGTTTGAAGAACAGAGAAAAAAATCTCAACTCTTAGGGAAATAAAACTGTTAAAAGAGGTGCCCTAGAATCACTTATGCATGCGTGTGCTCATGCATTCATTCAAAAGAGCACATATTGCACACCTGCTGAGAGTACGAGACATCTTCAGGGGGCACAGACAGATCAGCACTCAGTTGCTAATCAAAAGGTTGGCAGTTCAAGTGCGCTCAGAGGTTCCTTAGAAGGAAGACCTAGAAAAGTCAGTCATTGGAAATTCTATGCAGCATAGTTCTCAGACACACATAGGGTCACCCTGAGTTGGAACTGACCCGCCAGCAGTTCAACAGGACGGACTGAACTGTGGAATAAGCACAAGACTAGAGAGCGGCAGTATGACAGTGTTGGAGACGGCCTCGGAGCATCATCAGGATGGTGCCCTGGGCTGGCTCAGGTCATAAGTACTCCCATGGGTATTCAGCGAAAGGCCCTGGGGAGCAGAAGGATGCCTCCCCTCTTTGTTTGCCCCAGCGGAAGCTGAGCGGGACTGAGCCCCGTGATTTACAGCTTTCCGGCAGGGCCACTGCTACGAGCCTTTCGTCAAATATGGCAACTTCAGCAGCAGTGCGCCCTCCTACCCAGTGGGCACCACTGTGGAATTCAGCTGCGACCCTGGATATACCCTTGAGCAGGGCTCCATCATCATCGAGTGCGTCGACCCCCACGACCCCCAGTGGAATGAGACGGAGCCGGCCTGCCGAGGTCAGTAGGTCACCAGGGGATGGGCCTCTGAGGGCACAGCCACAGAGCCTGGGGGTACTGGGGCCCTGTGAGGGGGAATTCAAGCTTCCCCCAGAGCGGGTGGGCTCCCAGCAATGGGCAAGCATGCCTGAGGGCAGGTGGCAGCCCCAGGACATGGCACTGGGGGGAACGCGGAGGGGACGCGCCTCCCGGGCCTCCCCTTCCTTCCAGCTGTGTGCAGCGGGGAGATCACGGACTCGGCGGGTGTGGTGTTGTCCCCCAATTGGCCGGAGCCCTACGGCCGTGGGCAGGACTGCATCTGGGGCGTCCACGTGGAAGAGGACAAACGCATCATGCTGGATGTCCGAGTGTGAGTACCCACAGGCCAGGCCAGCCCGCCTCCGGCTAAGCCCATACCTTGCCCAGCCGCGCCCACCCCGCGCCCAGCCACGCCCACCCCGCGCCCAGCCACGCCCACCTGGCCATCCTCTCCACAGGCTGCGCATAGGCCCTGGCGACGTGCTTACCTTCTATGATGGGGATGACCTGACAGCGCGGGTGCTGGGCCAGTACTCAGGGCCCCGCGGCCACTTCAAGCTCTTTACCTCCATGGCTGACGTCACGATCCAATTCCAGTCGGACCCTGGGGCCTCCGTGCTAGGCTACCAGCAGGGCTTTGTCATCCACTTCTTTGGTGAGCTTGCCCTGCCCCACAGCCCCCCACACAGCACCACTCAGAGAGGCCAGGGCAACAACACCGAACTAACCCTGCTGCCCAACTTTCCTGAAGGCCTGTAAGAGAAAAGGCTCTTTCCATTTCAGCAAGAGGGACTTGGCTCACACAGCATGAAGAATCTTATCAGAAAAACAGCTTTCTAACAGTCCTTAATGGAAGTGGCAGGTTCCCCCACTTGACATGGCCCTGCCTCTCTGAATGGGACAATTGGTCATAGTGCTTTGAGAAGAAAGTCTAAATGATAACCCTAGGGTAACAATCCTAGGTTAACAACTTGTCGGGGGGCAGGCAAGGAGGGTCCCTTGAGCAGGGTGGGATGTCTCGCTAAGCATGCCCAGGTCAGGCTAGGCCCAAGAGAAACTAACAGGAGAATGGCATCCCAAGTGAGATAGGCAAGCACAGAGTCTCCTTGCTGCCAAGGACCTATACTTTGCTGCTCTTGTACCCCCAGAGGTACCCCGCAATGACACATGTCCGGAGCTGCCTGAGATCCCCAATGGCTGGAAGAGCCCATCACAGCCTGAGCTGGTGCATGGCACCGTGGTCACTTACCAGTGCTACCCTGGCTACCAGGTGGTGGGGTCCAGTGTCCTCATGTGTCAGTGGGACCTAACCTGGAGTGAAGACCTGCCTTCCTGCCAGCGGGGTGAGCTCCTCTGCCCAATACTATCCTTGAACTTTCCTCCCAGGTTCCAAACCAGACTCCAACTGTTAGTACTGGTAGTTTCTTCATCTCTCATAACCTCAATTTCTGCATTTGTAAAGGGAGTATAGTAACTTTCCCTATAACCATTAATCAAGAATTCCAAATATTTTGTTCCTGATAGATGGCAGCTGTTGTTGTTTTGTGCAGTTGAGTTGGAGCCATCTCATCATTGACCTTTCTGTCCGTTTCAGAGGCTGTAAATCGCACGGGAGGCGATTGCCACCCTCTCCTGTGGAGCAGCTAGTAGATTTGGATTGGCTGCCTTTAGATTGGCAGTGTAACTCCTTACCCACTAGGCCACCAGAGCTCCTTAGATGGCAACTGTTGTTGCTGTGATTGTTTTCAGGCTGTGAGTTTTCAGGCTGTAAACTGCATGAGAGATTACCCATCTTTCTCCCTTGAGGTACCTGGTAGATTTGAACTACTTACCTTTGGGCTGGCTACACAACTCCTTACCCACTAGGCCACTAGAGCTTACTAGATGGCAGGAAGTGTTTGTTAACTCTAATGGATGGAAAGGGGACAAATTAAGGGCCCCTGAGCATGGTGGTAGGGACTAATAAATGAATGGTAGGACAGCATGGCATGAAGATGTTGGCAGGTCTGGAACAAAGCCAAGATGAACTTCCTCTGGCTAAGGTCTCCTGGGGCCACCTCCCTCTGTCCCCACTGTAGTGACTTCCTGCCATGACCCTGGGGATGTGGAGCACAGCCGACGCCTTATATCCAGCCCCAAGTTTCCTGTGGGGGCCACTGTGCAGTACATCTGTGACCAGGGTTTTGTGCTGACGGGAAGTGCCATCCTCACCTGCCATGACCGCCAGGCTGGCAGCCCCAAGTGGACTGACCGGGCCCCCAAATGTCTCTGTAAGTGTCAGATGGGAAAGAGGGGCCACCTCTCATAGAAGAGAGGAGGCTTTTGTCCCTGAAGACTGGAGGCCTGGCACCCTCACTGGGCTCTGCTTGCCTTGCAGTGGAACAGCTTAAGCCGTGCCATGGCCTCAGTGCCCCTGAGAATGGTGCCCGCAGTCCTGAGAAACGGCTTCACCCAGCAGGGGCCACCATCCACTTTTCATGTGCTCCTGGCTATGTGCTGAAGGGCCAGGCCAGCATCAAGTGTGTGCCCGGGCACCCCTCACACTGGAGTGACCCCCCACCTACTTGTAGGGCTGGTGAGTGTCCTGCTACTCCCTGTATCCTAGACTGGCTGCTCTGACCAAGATGTCAAATGCCCACAACCCCTTGCCCACGCTCCTTCACATTACCCTTGGTTTCTCCCCAGTCTCTGCCATGTCCTGCTGACCTAGTATCACCAGGATACAAGCTGGGCTGGGCTGTCCTTAGACAAACCCTCCCTCTGCTCAGCCCAGCAGCTCCCGTCCCTGCCTCAGTGCTTCAGCCCACTGGGCTCTCACACTGCCCTTGTTCGCCTTTCTTGTTCCAGCCTCTTCAGATGGGTTCTACAGTGGCCGCAGCCTGGATGGTGAGCTCCCTCCCTTGAGGGCAGGGTAGTGATCTCACTGTCCCTAGTTCTCACAGCTCCCAGGCCATGGGGGTCCCTAAGGAGAGAGGGCAGAGAAAGAAGTCTGGCATTAGTTAGTTAGCAGGGTGAGGGGTGGGGTGTGGGTGAGGAAGCCGGTAGCTAGATACCCTTGGGAAAGGGTGAGGTTATGTGGGCTGCAGGTGACAAGGACCTCTATCCCAACTCACATCCTCTGTACTTTCAGTTGCCAAGTCACCTGCTTCCTCCAGGACTCTGGATGCTGCCCACATTGTAGCTGCCATCTTCTTGCCACTAGTGGGGATGGTGTTGTTGGTGGGAGGCGCATACCTCTACTTCTTCAGGTAAGTCTGGCTTCCCTGCCCACCCTGCATACCTGGGAATGACTGGGCCCACCTCTGCCTAGTATTTCTGACTCATGGGCTGCTCTATACTCACAGGCTCCAAGGGAAAAGCCTCTTGCAGCTGCCCCAGACACGGCCCCGCCCCTATGATCGAATCACCGTTGAGTCAGCATTTGACAATCCGACTTATGAGACCGGAGTAAGTACCTATGACACCCTGTCCAGGACCAGATTCCCCTGAGGGTATTGCAGAGCCCTCTTGGGCCCCCTCCCCCTTGAGAAAGTGGATTAAGGCCTGGCAAACCTTATACAAGTTTCCAACTCCCAGCAGTTTCTTTCCTTTGCAGGAGACGAAAGAATATGAGGTCTCCATCTAGGTGAAGGCGGTCTGGAGAAGCTGTCTCAGCTCTGTGTCATGGCCCAGCCACGGGGCCCCTGGTTTTCTGCTGTCCTTCCACCTCCTGTACATACCATCTGGGAAGAGATGCCACCAGACCCTCAACAAGTTGTGCCCTTCCCCACCTGTAATGCCGACCACCACCTATTTCCTTGGTATCACTGCCCACGTTAGGGCCCTTACTTGGGTCCAAGTCAGGAGGCAATTGCTGATGGGCAGAACACAGCTGTAGCACATGCATCAAGGACCAGCATTCTCTTGACCCTCCCTCCTGCCCTGGTCCTCTAGCTGGAATTCTCAGGCAGAGTGCAAGCACTCCCTCTGCCCTTGACCATCACCCAGCCTTGGCATGTGGGACCTTGCAGCAGGGTTAACATGATAGTGGTGGAAGCTGAGCCCAAGTGCTCCTCACAGGGCCATCACCAGTGGCCAAAATGGCTCAGGGCGGCCTTGGGGTGGTCTTGGCACACCCATACCAGCTCCTTGGAGAAGTTTCTAGTTCTTTTCTGGATCCCCAAAATGGACAGTTTTGCCTCTTGCCCCTCCATGATAGAGATGATCATTTTAAGTTGATTTAAGAGATTCAGGGGCCCTGCTCCAAGCCCACACTGAGCTTGCCCAGACACTCATGCTCCACACCAAAGCAGGACACCACACTGCTTCCCTGACAGCCCTGTATCCTAATGTGAGGGAGACTTCCCATAATGTCAATCTGGCTATGATAGACATTCTCTTTCCCATTATGCCCTCCTGAAACCCCAGCCGCTTCCCAAGATACCCTCTAGACCACCATGTTTTGGAAAGAGGAGTGGGCAGGAGCATTCTGGAGAGGAGCAGAGGACCTCAGAATTTGTCATGAAATAGGGGCGGGGGTCAGAGAACTCTAGAAAGAGACCCAGGAGCTGGCCGCAGGCCACTTTGTACATGTAATGTATTATATGGGATCTGAGCTCCAGTCAGAGAACAAGCTTTTATTTCTGTTGTTTCCTTATTAAAAATAGTGTTTTTGAAAAAACTGAGCAACGGCCACGTGGTTGGTGCTTTCTTGGAGGGAAAAGAGGTTGGAGATAAATGAGACATGAACTTTGAAACCAAAAGGCATGTTGGACCCACCAATCAATCCTCTCCAGACTTCATTTTTAAAAACACAAAATAAAAGAGAGTTACTTGCAAGTACTACTATTGCAAGGACCAGGCTTCCAAAAATTTAATGCAACAGATGGCAGATGAAATGAGCAGTTCCATTGATTGTGCCCTGAGGGTATGAGAACTGAGGAACCAAACTACTCCTCCAGCCCTATGCTCCATTTCCTCTTCACTTCTGGGTCCAAAACTACAGGCTGGCACAAACTCAAGTCCCCTGCTAGAGTGCTGACAAGGCCCAAGAAGCTTGATGCATCTCTGGTTTCCCAGCAAGCCAAGTTTGGAGAATTGGAACAGAAACCAGAGGCTAAACCCTGAGCACAAGGTTCTAGTCTGGCGTGGCCTCAGAACATGCAGGTTGTCAAGCTATAATTGACTGCCAAGTTAAACAAAAGCCCTACTCATGGGTTCCAAAGAGAAGTGTCTGGAATCTTAAGAATCTTAAGTTTGCCAGGTTTGGTTTATCCTGACACTATGCCCCTTCCCTCTGAAATGGGACTATTTGTGCAGATGTGGGCTCTCTGGCATACACACCAACGTTTCCCAGAAGAAGAAAAATCCACTGAAATAAATAATAATAATAGCAGCAACCTTCCAACACACAGTCGTTAAGCACTTGTGGCTGTCTCCTCACCTTGACCTCACCCCTAGCTCCAGCACAGTCCACTTGGAAAGAGGCAGCTGTCCAATCCATAGAGTGCAGTGCCCAGAATAGCCACAAGAGGTCACTTCTGAAGTTATCTGTATCCCATCGGCTCAAGCTACCTGGTACCAGCTCCTGACATCACTGGGCCAGTCTCCAGATTTCAAGAGTGATGTGTATGGACTGATTAATTCCTTGACAATCTTATTTCTCTTATTAGCCCACCGCTTGTTCCTGTTTTTGATGGCTGTTTTTGATGTTGATCAAAGCAAAGCCTCATCTGTCACATGCCAGTGGTTTGCTTATTTTAGCCTTTCTGACTGGCATAGAAACACATGTGGGCATTGGGAAGTACTAGTAAAGCCAAGAGAAGGCACATTAGATCCAGTTTTAAAAGTCCTGTGACATGAAATCAAGGGCAGATTATTCAAGAAATAAGGTAGGCATATAGGTTCACTTATGCTTAATTATCCATCTGTAGTGAACAGTTTCATATGTTCTTCACTACATATAAGTAAGCACAAGTAAGCCCATACTTGCTTACTGGATACTCCATCCCTGATAGGGATTGAGACCTGAAGAGGCTTTGATTCCACAGGAAGGCACTGTGGGCTTGGAACAGATGCCAGTTACACTTAGAAGCAGAATCTGTAATGTGATGGGTAAATGTAGTAATTGTTTACGACAAAGTGAAACCGTGCTCATCTTGCTTATAAGTAAACTGACACTGCATGAAACACTACCCCAAGAGGTAAGGTCTGGCTATTATCACACAAGCAATTTTGCTCAGTTTTAGCGTTTCTGAGGACCACATCTCTGATAGTTCTTGTAAGCTGAAACTGATAGAAGGCAAGAAGCAGTCAATTTAAGGACCTCATTCTGATGGCTTAGTGGTAAAGAGTTGCACTGGCAAGTTAAAAGTATGCAGTTCAATCCACCAACTGCTCCGCTGGAGAAAGATGAGCAATTTCCTCCCCTGTGATTTACTGTCCCTCAAAGTCCGCAGCAGAGTCAGCTTTGAGTATGTTCCGACTGATGGTACACAACAGCAGTAACACCCTCTAGAACCTTCAAGTTACCAAGACCATCAGAAAAGTATGAAAAATAAAAGCCTGAAACTGCACAGGGAGCTCTCTGGTCGTAATGAGTTGAGCTGCCAATACAAAAACTGTGCACTTCCTTACAGCCTTGTTCACTGTGAACTCCTACCCATGGCACACACTGGTATCCCCACCCCAACTAACAATCCTCGTTGTTGTTGTTGTATACTGTACAGTCGGAACCATCCCATAGCTGACCCTCTGGCGAGTTTTCAGAGGCAGTTAATTGCTCCAGAGGAAATTGTCCCATCCTTCTCCCGGGAAGCAGCTAGTGGCCTCGAACCGTATGCCTTCTGGATGCAATGCAACCGCTTGCCACTAGGCCACCAGAGCTCCCTAACGATCCTGGTTACTGTCCCATAAAGGAGCTGCAACAACTCCTCAGAAATATCATTGGTGTAGAGGACCGTTTCCCGTCCTGAGACTCAAGAAGTATGATTCATTCCTCTGGCATAAATGAGGCCTACACAAATCACTGCTCCTCTCTGGACATCTAGAAATAAGATGGTTAAATCGGACGATCTTTAACGATTCTGAGGATGCTGTATGCCTTCCTTAATACAAAAGATGAATAGGACAGAGCTATCAGGCATCAATGCCAGCTAAATGTCTAGTGTCAAGCACAATGACGCGGTTCCCTGCTGTATTACTTCATTCATAGTCCCACTGGCAATTTTTGTCAACGAAACCAAGGAAAGGGGCCAGACCCACAAATGCGGAACATAAATCCCGCCGAGAATTTGAGACGAGACCCTCTGACTACACATCCCAGCATGCAGTACTCCGTATTTCTTACGTATCCTTTCCCAGAAGGCAAAGCGCTCTGCCCTGCGTCCGTCCTATCGTAGTTGTGCATCGCACGCACAAGGAACTACGACTCCCACAATCCATCAGAACTATCGCGACTTTTGCAACCAGAGTACAACGCGTTCCCGTTCGGCCTTTGGACCCTTTGCGCATTGCAAACTGGGAATTAGAGTCGGCTCTAGACAGGTATCTGGGCGTTGTCGGCGTTAAAAAGTCTCCGCTTTTGCCTTCCTCTTGAAGAGCAGTTCTCAGGGCCAGTGGTCAAGACAGCGTAGTAATGGACACCACCAGGGTGCCACTCACTTTGGTGCCACCACCAGGGTGAGCTATGAGCCAGGCATGATCGAGCTAGAGGGAACTAGGAACCGCAGCCATTCAGTTCACTACCGAAAGCGTTTTCGTCGCAATGGCCTTTCTTTTCTCTACTAATATGGCGTCTTGGTCTAGCCACACCTGATGCCGAACTGAACAACAGAACAGTACAACATCCCTAGGAATACTGTCATCCAAAGGCTACCAACTTGAGCCAGCATTACACTCGATCTTCTTGCTCATGCTTGAAGACCAAGGGCACGGTAGCTTATATCCCATTACCAAAATGGCGAAAAGCTTTTTTTTTTTTTTTTTTTTTTTTTGTGAGGGCCAGCAAGTGACAATACGCCTGCGCGGGAAGGAGTAGTGTTGTGGGGCGGGGAGGGACGGCATTCCCGACACGCCTGCGCAGGAAGAGAGTCCTTTTGGTCGATACACAAACACCAATAGATGAAGCGTCCCCAGGTTGCTGCGGCTGCGCTGTGACCCCGGCTAGTCCTCTGAGGCGCCTGCGCGAGACCTCAGGTCCCGCCCTTTTCTCCCAGTACGCTGGCGCACGGCAGAAAGGCGGAGTTTTACAGCTTCAGACGAATGCCAGCGCGGCTGCGCGCTGGGGGGTGCCCCCTCTCCGCGGCTGCGCGGGAGCCCGGCCGCCGGCTGTCACTGCGGTTGCGCGCGGCGAGCGGCGATCCCGGGGCGCCTGCGCGGGTGGCTTTGCGGGCGCTCGCGGTAAGTTTGCGCCAAGTGCGCGGCAGCCGGGACGCAGACGGCGGCGGCGGCGAGAGGCGGAGCCCGGGGACCACCCCCCATCACCCACCCCCCCAGTCACCTCACGTACCACAACCTCACCTAACCTCTCACCTCCTCTCCGGTCCCCCCAACCCCGGGATGGCAGCGCCCGACAGTCTTCCCGGCCGGACCAGCGGCCGCCAGCGCCGGCTTTAGCCTGTGGGACTAGGCCCCGCCGAGGCCTGACCCCGGGAGCCGGGACCCACGGTGCAGCCAGCCACCGGGCCGGGGCTGAGGGGCCGCTCCCCCCTCACGGCCCGTGGGGAGGACGCTGCCGTCCCAGGGACAGGGGGCCGGGGGGTGGGGGGGAGCCAGGGCGAGGAACTCGGGACCTGTGCTGAGAAAAAAGAAAGGGGGCCGGGGTCAGGAGCGCCCCCTCCCCCCGCTTCCCCCCTCCCTCTG